CTAATTTCTTCTATCTTTATTAATACCTTCAATTTCTTGTCCTTAGGTTTGCTTTATTGATAAATAATACAGTTAATACTCCTAGTTAGTCTTTAGTCTGTTAATTTGATTTATGGTTTCTTGTTCTACAGAAGTTTTAAGTTTTTAGTAATCAAAACTATCTTTTTCTTTTATGGCTTCTTTGTTTCGTGTTATCTTTAAAAAAGACCTTCTGTACCTGCCCCCCCATTATAAAAGTGTTCTTCATTTTTTTCATATTTTTATCATTTTTTTTTATCTGTCTAGAATTTATTTTTCTTTATTGTGTGAGGTGATGTCTAAATTATTTTGTTTTCAGGTGGATTGCCAGCCATCTCAACATCATTTATTAAGCAATCTATCTTTTCCTCGTTTATCTGAAATACTTTTATCATATACTTAACTTTTCACATTCTGTGAAAAATCCTATTGGTCTTTTTGGATTGTATCTGGTTTATCTGATTAATTTGGGGGATAAGTGAAGTGACATCTTTTTTTTTTTTTTTTAAAGATTTTATTTATTTATTTTTCCCCCAAAGCCCCAGCAGATAGTTGTCTGTCATAGCTGCACATCCTTCTAGTTGCCGTATGTGGGATGCGGCCTCAGCATGGCCGGAGGAGCGGTGCATTGGTGCGTGCCCGGGATCCGAACCCGGGCCGCGGGCAGCAGAGCGCGCGCACTTAACCGCCAAGCCACGGGGCCGGCCCCATGAAGTGACATCTTTAAAACATTGACTGCATGTAGAAACATGAAATATTTTTCCATTTACTTCAGTTTTTCCCTGTGTCCTTCAATAGAGTTTTATGATTTTCTTTTTATTTATTGTTAGGTTTATTCCTAGGTGTCTTACAGTTTTTGTTGATGTTATAAATGAAATTGTTTTCATTATATTTCTTATCTGGTTATTAATGGTAGGTAAGAAAACATTCGATTTTTGTATATTAATCCTGTGCAACTTAGTTACTGAACCCTTTGATTGTTTCTATTTGTTTTTCAGTTGATTCTCTTGGATTTTCTGGATAGTCTTATTGTCTCTTTGTTCCCTATACTTACACTATTTTTTTAAGTTTTGCTTCTAGCAGGGTATCTTGTTGAATTGACTAGACTTCTGGAATGGTAGCCTTATTCCTTATAGCACCAGAGGACAGAACTAGGACAGATGGGCAGAACAACTAGAGCTTTTTGAACATGGAAGAGGCAACTTTGTATTTTATCAGTACATTGTACTGATTATATTCATAGAACAACTAAATTGAAAGCAAATTCATTTGTTAGTTATAGAGTAAGACTAAATGACTTCTAAGTCTAAGTAAGTAGTTGAGAGTATAAAGAGAGAATCGAGAAGTGACTTTAAGAACTCCTATACAGAGAGTAGTGGGAGAGAAAAGGATAGAAAAGCAGAAGTAGAAATTTAAGAAGAAATAGTATAACGCCTGATTAGGAGAGTAATCATGACTATGCAGTATTATAGAAGCCAGGGGAGATGAAAGTTTTGTCAAGTATGAGATGGTCGTCAATAACTGATGCTACATAGAAGTATGGGGGAAAAAAAGTGAGCCAATAAGAAGGCATTGTATTTGTTAATGAGGAGGTTATTTGTGATCTGCTTTAGTGTCTCTTCATCTGCTTCTTGTGGTTCTTAACTTTTCTGTGGTTTCTTTAATTTGTAATTTCATCTAGAGTATCAGTTTGGTGGGAACACGAATCAAGCTTATTTCTGTTGTGTAAGTCTCATGGGGCTTTGAACAGTTTTATTCTTAGGAATAGACGATCCGTAAATATTTGTTTGTTGATTTTTGTGTAAATCCTAGAGGAATTATAGCTTAGTTTCAGGTTATGACTGCAATTTAAGTTCCATGTTTTGAGCTTACCAGTCCAGTTGTAATCATGTACCAGTTATAGATAAAACATAATAAGAAAAAATTTTAAACATGCTCATTCAAAAGGACAAGATAAACTAATTTGTAGAATAGAAATGCAAAATGATGACTGGAAATTAAAACACGGGCCTCCTGGACTCCAGGTCTGAAGTGGCTAGAGGTGACTTGCTGTTCAGTTTATATGGGGTATTGGGAAGTAAAAGTGTCATGTGGAAGTCAGGGGACCAGAACTACGCTCACTGGTTAAAAGTAGCAACTGGAAATGGGGCTTCCTGCTCCTCAAAGGAAGTTTATATAAAAGGTACTACCAACTGTACCCTGAAGCTGTAGTTAATATAAAAATACTTATCTAGAGAGGTGGGAGGGCGCCAACACAGCCTTAAGACCAATACTTAAGCCAAACTGCAGTGGCTCAGTACCTGAATCTACAGTAGCCAATAATGTCTGGAGCTACCAGTGACCAATACGCGACCTGGTTTTTGATTAGGGCCCCATGGGGACTGGTGAAGAGAAACAAAAAGGCATGAGACAGGGTGAGATAAATGGAGGGAAGGAGAAAGAGCAGGGAAGAGAGGAAGAAGGAGAGAACTCTGTCACTCAAGATGCAAACTAAAGTTCGAAAGTTCACTGCAAACTAAAGTTCCATAGCACAATTTAAAAAAGAAAAAAGCTAAACCTAGAAAAGCATCCAACAAAATTAACAGTCAGAAGACCAATTCACTCCTAGATGAAATAAAAGTAGTGAACTAATTTTTTAAAGACTTACTTAAAAATAAGTATATTTAGGACTCTCCAAAAGATAATTAAAACCCTTTTAAAAGAATAAGAAATTAGGATAAGTTAGCAGAAATGAAATAAGAATAGATAAGTATAAGAACCAAGTAGGTATCTTAGAGATGAAGTTCTGAAGAGTTCACCCACAATACAGAATATAGAGACAGAAAATACTCAAAATTATGTAATTATGTGGTTAAGGGACATAAAAAATAGATTGAGGGACTTCAGTATACATCTAATAGGAATTTTAGAACAAGAGGCCACAAGAATGACCGAGAGGCAATAACTAAAGAGCTGATGTCTGAGAATTTTCCAGAAATGAAAACTTTGAGCCCTCAGATTAAAAGTACACTCTGCATGCTAAACAGGATAAATAAAAATCAGTCACAATAAGAAACATTTAGTGCAACTATAAAACAAAAGGATAAAGAGAAACTTAAAAGCAACCAGAGAGAAGAAATAAACCTCCAAAAGAGTATCAACTAGACAGACTTCTCAACAGCAACAATAGAAGCTAGAAGACAGTGAACTAATGTCTTTAAAATGCTGAGAAATGATAACTTTACCTATCTCAACCACCATTCAAGTTTGAGGGCAAAATAAAGACATTTTCAGGCAAAGACTAAAATAGTTTATCTCTGACATACCTCTGTAAGAATTTCTAAAGGGCATCCTTTAGCAAGAAGAAAAGGGAACCCAAAGGTAGGAGTAGGGTGTACTTTTTGGCAAAGTTAGTTAACAATGACAATAACAAAAATAATTATTTTTGTAAAGGTTGCTCTGAATCTCTGGAAAATAATAATAAGGAATATAGGTAGCTAAAGTGTGCTAGGAACATTGTCTTGTTCAAATGCTGAATAATTTTAATTGTAATTATTTTCTATTAAAACCAAGTATAAGTATATAGTTTAAATGTATGTATGTATTTATTGAGCACCTACTATGTGCCAGGCACTGGCCTAGGCAGGCTCTAGGGATAAAATAGTTGGGGGGAAGAAACTCTTCATGGAGTTACACTTTCATGGGAGTAAACTGCTTAAAAGAAGCGGTATAACCCAAACACACAGACTTGAAAGAAATATGTTGGTAAATAGGAAAAGATACACCTGGAAAATATGCTGGTGTGATGAAGTGAAAAACAGTTGTGACAATATTAATGTCAGATAAAATACAGTTTAAGGTGAAGAGCTTTACAGTCATGTGCTGCATAATGACATTTCAGTCAACGATGGACGGCATATACAGTCTGGTCCCGTAAGATTAGTACCTTGTAGCCTAGGTGTGTAGTAGGCTATACGTCTAAGTTTGTGTAAGTACACTCTATGATGTTCACACAATGACGAAATCACCTAACGACAGCTTTTCTCAGGATGTATCCCCATCATTAAACGACACATGGCTAATAAAGTAAAATGAGCAGCTAGAGCGTTATTGAATTTACGTAACACCTTACATAGGCTTGAAAGTGAAAACTGACAGAATTAGAAGGAAAACTGGTGAGTCCACAGTTATGTGAGAGATTTTAGCATACCTCTATTAAAATGGAAAGATAAACAGTCAGAAAATTAGTCAAGAATAGAGACTTGAACAATGCAACTAACAAAGTTGATCTAATACATATAGAAAATTTTGTACCCAACAAATAGAGAATGTGCATTATTTTTGAGCACACAAGGAATGCTTCCAAAAATTGACTGTGTCCTAAATCACAAAAGAAGTCTCCAAAATTTAAGAATCATATAGACCACATTCTCTGACCACAATAATTAAACTTGAAACCAGCAATAAAAAGAAATAAACAAAAAACTCATCTGACTAAAAACTAGAAAATGCACTTATAAATAACTCTTATATTAAAGAGGAAGCTTGAAAAGAGCCAGCAGAGTAAACATGAGGTAGAAGGAAGGGCATAATACAGATAAGAATAGAAATTAATAAAAAGAGAGGAAAAGATCAATACTTTCCTAATAATTTATTGTGATGATCAATGATAGAACTAGCAAAATGGCCAAGAATCCAGGTGTTGTTTGAGCCTCTATTCCTCTTCATGGTTTATCTTCTACATTAATAATCTTTTTCTTTAGATGTTCAGTGTGAGCTAATAAGAAAAATATAGGACTCAAAAAATAGAATATAAATTAATTGTCAAATTTTCAGGAGTGTATTGTTTTCATATGACAAGAAAATTATAGAACTATATAAGTGAAAACATCAAATTTGTAGTATTATTTTACTATTGTTTATTTTTTGAAAAGATTTTATAGTGGCCATTAATGGAAACTTCTTTTTATATAGTTAAGATATTTTTCTTTTCCTTCCTGTAGGTTACTCAAATGAGTCGTCCAGACCTGATTCTCTTTCTGATGAAATACCTGATGGCTCTCATAGTTGGTATTCCCTCCATTTTTTGGGTTGGAAGCAAAAAGACGTGCTTTGAATGGGCCAGTTTTTTTCATGGTCGTAGGAAAAAAGAGTAAGTTGAATTAAACTATCACAATGTTGACAAACCTCACAATCACATAAATTTTTTATGTTGCTCATGTTAAGACAATTTGGAGGAAGTATCCCAACAAGATTGTAACCTCAGCTGCCATCAGTTATGATTGGCACAGTAGCGTTCTTAATTAAAAGCTAAAAACTTATTTGAGAAGATAGCCAAGTAGAACCAGGCTTAAGGTCTATTCCTTACTAATTCAGAATATTTGAGGGAAGTCCGGTCTTTATTTTGAAACATCCATATTATAATTTTCTTAAAATGAAAACAAATTAATGCTTTTATATATATTCTTATTTGAGTCTCTTGATATTCTGGTAAGGGTTGGTATGTATTATCATCTCTGTGTTACAGATGAGAAACTGAGACACAGAGGGGTTAAGTGCCTTGCCCAAAGTCACAAAGGTATTAGATTAGACTTCCATTTCCAATTATCCATTGTTCTTCCAAGTATACCATAAATGATTCAAAGAGATGCCATGTTATCCCATTCTTATGGAATACACGTTAAAGCCAAAATAGAAAAATGACATTAGTAGATTAAATTAAATATGTTAAAGAAATTATTTTATTTCATAGTTGGCCACATGGCATATTAGAGTATCATGGTAAAATATAAGACTTGACAAAGCAAATTTATGAGAGCATATTTAAGGAATTTTTAATTTTTTGAACCCTTAGTTCGTAAAACAAAATAAGACCCTGCAGTATTCACAAAGGAACAAATGATTTCAAACTTTTTACTCAGCATGTCTTATATGTATACTATATCTGAATTATCACAAATTCTAACTTAGTAGAGTCTATATTCTTGTGATTTTACTTAACCTAGGGTCCATGGAAAATGGGCTTTGGGGGATAGTCTGTAAAACTCTTAAGATTATATTTAAAATGTTGGGCCTAATATGGGTTAGTGTACTTTTCTTATACAACTTAAGTGCCTCATTAACAAAATCTATATTCTCTAAAATACCAGTAATTAGCAGTTTGTTACACAGGTTAGATTGAGATAAAATAATCCCAATTTTAAAATACACATTTCTTATTACCATATCTGAGACTGCTACCTGAGATATCAGATGATGCATTTCTCCTTTAAGTACAGTTTCATAGGGCAGAGAAGGAAAGACTCATTCAACAACGACAACAAAAATGTATTTCCTAGTCATTTATTCATCCTTTAAGAAAGTCTTTATTGGGGCCGGCCCAGTGGCACAAGCAGTTAAGTGCACGCGCTCCACTGCAGTGGCCAGGGGTTCGCTGGTTGGGATCCCGGGCGCACACCGATGCACTGCTTGGCAAGCCGTGCTGTGGTGGCGTCCCATATAAAGTGGAGGAGGATGTGCACGGATGCTAGCCCAGGGCCTGTCTTCCTCAGCAAAAAAAGAGGAGGGTTGGCGGATGTTAGCACAAAGCTGATCTCCTCACAAAAAAAAAAGTCTTTATTGAATGCTTGCTATGTGCCGTGAACTATTTTGGGATATCAGGGATTCAATAGCAGACAAAACAGGCCAAATCCCTGCTTTCATGGAGTAGCCTTCCTTGTGGGTTTTAGTGATTTATCTGTGTGTTCTTTGAAATTTTTAAATATGTTTTAATCACAGTAAAACACAATGCTGAGGAAAAGGCTTGAATTAAACATTCCTGGTCACCTCTAGACCATACACAAACAATTCTGTAATAGGGTTGTATTAGAAATTCCAGATAGAGCTAAACCGAAGCTACCCTTATGGGAAATCATCCTAGTTATTTGGGGGATCCTGGTTGGGCCAGAATCCCTTTGAAACTGGTTAGAACTCCCAAGGAACCTTCTAATTTGATTTTCTGCAGCCATGGATCCCCACCCAACAAAGTCATTGTGATCCTACAAGCCAGGACTGTGCTCTGGGCTAGAGTGTCAGCTCCTTATTCTGGAGCTCAAGAGTGTGAGCATACTATAGCTATTTCTAGCATTTGTCTGGTTTAGCCTTTGAGAAATAACTATAAAGTAATCATAATGTTACCAATTAATTGAGCACATTTAATATTCCAAGCACTGTTCTAAGCGTTTAACATATTAAATCATTTAATCCTCTAAACAGCCTTGTTAAGGAGATCATCATTTTACAGATAAGGAAAGTGAGGCAAAGAACCAAGATTTCATAGCTGGTGAATGCTAGAATTGAGATTCAAACCCAAGCAGTCTGACTCTAGACGCTGGTCTTTGCTCTTAACCCCCTCTGTTATACTGTGCTATAAAGAGACTGGCTTCTAAAATTGTGCTAGTCAAATTAGTGTTCTCCCACTAAGTGAAACCACATCTCAGACTGTGCTTATGCTAATAATTCTGACACATTGAAATATTTTTAGTAATCTTTTGGGATTATCTGGGTCACATCACTTAATTTCTCTGGACCTCTGGGGCTTTTTTGTTTTTTTTTTTTTGGCTGAGGAATATTTACCCTGAGCCAACATCTGTTGCCAGTCTTCCTCTATTTTGTATGTGGGTCGCCACCACAGCATGGCTGCTGACGAGTGGTGTAGGTCTGCACCTGGGAACCAAACCTGGGCTGCTGAAGTGGAATGTGCCGAACTCAACCGCTAGTCCATGGGGCTGGCCCAGGACCTTTGTTTTCTTACCTGTAAAATGAAGGGACAAACCTTCACAATTTGAAGGTGGATTAAATTTTTGGAACGACCAGAAGTCAGTTTGAACCAAAATTTAAAAATAAGTTTAGAAAATCAAGTCAGTGATCAAGATTGACTTGGGATGTATATATATGTGAATAGGGCCGTTGATGACAGAGGAACAAACATTTTTTTTAACTATTTTTGACTGGTTCTTTCTTCTGTGTAGTTTTTGACACTTTGTTTTCAGGATATATGTAAACATTATGTTTTATTATTACTTTATGATTGGCTTCTAAGCCCCTTAAACTTAAGTTTGATCCCCAACTGTTGGTTTTGTTGTGTGTCTTTTGGAAAGTTTTTTAATCCCTCAGAACCTCAGTTTCTTCATCTGTAAAATGAGGATCACAACATTTATTCTTAATAGATATCTAATATCCTCTTAGAAATATCCTCTCAGGATATTAATCTTCATAATAAAAACATTACTAAAAAGATCAAAGGAGAATGTATGTAAAATACCTGACACAATATGAGTACTCAACAAATATCACTCTTCCCTCAGCCCTTCTCCCTCAGCAGTAAAAACAACAAGAGCAATATCAACAGTCCTTTTGTAATTTGAAAACTTAGAATACATGCACTTTCTCACTGTATGATCCAGTCTTTACATGTTGGGGTTTTATTTTTTGATGAAATTGTGTATCTAATTTTAACTTTGATTCTCATAGTCAGTCACTTATTTACATACACTGAGACACTGATCTGTGCAACTGTTTAATTGGCTCTTTTATTAATTTAATTACTGCTTTGTTCATCATCATAAATATCTATCTATGCTTTTAACCCTTTCATAGCAGTTAAAAACTTTTACTCTTGACAATAATTTATCCCCTTAAATTTTTTTCCCTTAAGCCTTTAATATGTCTAGGACTTAATAGTATGTTGCTTAAATTAATTTTTCATATGTTTTGTTCTGATTATGACCACTCATGTTTATTCCAGCACTAGACAACTGCTTCTGCCATAAAATCCACTTGTGGCCTTAAAACAACTGCTCGAACAAGTTAAAAAATACTGTATCTATGCTATAATGAGGCCTCCACTACTTCTAAAAACCATGCAAGAAAACAATTTCTCTACTTTATAGTAGTAATATCTTTGTAATATTTCAGTGTCCTTGAGGATCATAAATTTGTTTAGCTGAAAGAGATTTTTTAGAAATGATGAAATTGTATACTTTCATTTTATAGAGGAGGAAAATAAAGGAAAGGGGATAGTGACTTGCTTAAGATCACATATTTATTGATAAGGTTGGAACTAAAATCCTGATTGCCTAGTCTAAGACAGTCCTCTTTCCATCATACCACTTCAGTGGACAAATTGACAGGCATTTTTATATTCTTTCCTTTGTCAACAGTGTTACCTTATATTTGTCCTAATGACATTATTTGGAGAGCAATTAATTTTAAGAATAACGTCAGTGTCACAAAAGTATTGTTTATTGGTCTATAGGCATGTTAGTCTGTATCTTAAATTTAGTTTTTGTTGTCTAGGATAGTGAATGAGAGCCGACAGGTACTCCAGGAACCTGATTTTGCCCAGTCCCTCCTGAGGGATCCAAATACTCCTATTATAAGAAAATCAAGAGGAACTTCCACTCAAGGAACATCCACACATGCTTCTTCAACTCAGCTGGCTGTGGTGGATGACCAGAGAAGCAAAGCAGGAAGTGTCCACAGCAAAGTGAGCAGCTACCACGGCAGCCTCCATAGATCCCGTGATGGCAGGTGAGTTTTATTGGTAACTTAGTTTATTTCATATGCTGAATTAGAGTCACACAGCTTAAGAAGGAAGAGTAGCCAGTTCTGAAATAGAAGTTGAACATTATTAAGCTTTTTGAACTTTGCTAGGTACAGTTGTCCCAGATTATGATCAGACTTAAAGCCAGTCAGAGGAGTTTAGAGTTTAGACTTGATGCGGTAAGCAATATGATGTCATTGACGGGTATTGAGCTTGGAGAAGGCAGGGTGAAAGTGGTTATTTTAGTTAAGATTAATTTAGCAAACAATTATGGAATACCTACTATGTCAGGCACTGTGCTAGGCTCTGGGAATACAAAGATGATTTAGGCATGATCTTTGTTCTCAATAAGCTCACAGTCTATTAAGAAAGATAGTGTAGTCAATATTAGTATTGTGGTTAAAAAGATTGGGTCTGGAATGATAAACCTCAGTTTCCTCATCTGTAAAATGGAAATAGTAATAATATCTGCTCCTTTAGGAATGTTGTATAAAATAAATGAAAAAATATTTGGCACTGTTCCAAGCAATTTAGATAATATAATTGCTTGGAACAGTGCCCATCTCAGTAAGTGCCTGATATCAACTTCTATTAATATTGTAAGTGAACAATTAAAGTACAATGTAAGTGTGATGGTACAGTCCAGAGGTTGGCAAACTTTTTCTATAAAGAGCCACATAGTAAATATTTTAGGCTTTGTGGGTCATATGGTCTCAGTTGCAACTGTTCATTTCTGCTGTTGTAGCATGAAAGCAGCCACAGACAATATATAGTCAAAGTGAGAATGGCTGTGTTCCAATAAAACTTTATTTACAAAAATAGGAAGGAGCCAGATTTGGCCAGCAGGCCATAGTTTGCCAACCCCTGTTTAGCAGGTGCAGCAGTAGCATGTAGGAGGGAGTGATTAATTCTGGTGGGGGCGGGGTCATAGAAACCTTCACAGAGAGAATGTTTGAGAGAAGGCTGGATGTGTTTTCTTGTTAAATTTGACGATGGAGACACTAGAATTAGAAACTTCTTAGGAGCTTTATGATAATTCAGTTGAGGGATGATGAAGGCTTATAGGAGAGTAGTGACAGTGGGAAGAGAGGAAGAGTTGATCTGAAAGATATTTTGAAAGAAGAAATGAAATGATGGGAATTGGTGATGGATTAATAGCAGCTGGAGAGAAGGAATGTGTCAGAGATTTTTGTTTTTAAAGATTTCTGGTTTGGGAAGCCAAAAGAATGAAAATTCTTATGCTTAAAATGGAAAGCATTTGATGTTCACTTTGAAACATCTGTTTCCACAACTGTCTTGTATCCTTCCAATTTCATTCCAGCCTTTCTCTTGGTCTTCTCTGTTCTCCTAGTGTTATGTGATGTCTATACTTACTCTCTTTTTAGACCTTCTAGTTTTTCCTCTCAACTTGCTTTCTTTTGCCTTCTAACTTTAGCTACTCTGTGTTTTAAAAAGCAGCAGTCTTTCTTTGACTATGATATATTTTCTTTTATCCATTTCTTTTTCCTTTCCTTGCCACATTTTTGAAATGAATATATTGAATATTTCCTTTCTACCTATTCTGTCCTTAGTTTCTTGTATATCTAGTCTTTTTCTCCTTCTTACCCACCTAAACTGTACCTTCTAACGTAACCAGTGACCTGTTTTTTAACCACACTTAAAGATCCTTTCTCTTTCCTGCCTTTTTCCTTGCATTAAGTACTCTTATATGAGAAGCATTTTCCTAAGTGCTGGGGATGCAGAAATGGAAGACAGAAGAGCAAACAGTTAGTTATAATACACTTTAATGGGTATAATAAAATCATATACAAGATACTTTGGGATCCAGAGAAGAAAAACTAGCCCGGGGCCTTCCTTTACTAAGGAAGGGCACCAAAGAAGTGAGATGTACAGCGTGGTTATATACCGTCTTGGAACAAAGAGCATACATCACATATTATAGCAATGTCCCTTTTACAATTGTTACAAGATGCTTAGCTGGCACAGCAGATCAGTGGTCAGCAGGTCAGTGGTCACAAGGTGAGTGGTCACAGGGTAAGCACAACAGGTCAGTAATTAATCCTTAGTTTAGGGAGAGATGCTTATTGTAAAGGAAATGCCAATGTGGGGGAGGTTACATCCCTATTTTTAGGGGCATCATTCTTGTCTTTGGGACATAGTAAATATTTAAAGCAGATGTATAACGCATGCTCAACAGGCCATATCAGGTCCTTTTGGAAAAACAAGGTCAGGCCTTATTAGTTTTATACCAAATGGCTTCCTCATATACTCCAATATATCCTATTGCTGTTCATTTATTTATCAATGCTTTTTGACAGCCAATAGGTCTTCAGCTACTTATGATTAGTTCTTTTGATGACTGTTTAAAAAAGGAATGGCCTGCTATATCCTTTTCATTTTTAGAAACATTACTTAAAATTTAACATATTAAAGTTATAAATTATGTTTAGTTAAGTTTTCTTCGAACTTTGTTATCCTAAATTAAATACTTTTTACAAAAAGGTGTATGTATGGTGTGAATTTCTTACCTCTGATGGGGCTTAGTGAGTCAGGATTGCAGTCAGGATTGTACCTTTCAAGATAAGTACAATGATGGAGGAGAAGACTGCCAGCAATAAGTAATGTAGCCCAGTTAACTTACTCAAAAGCTGGGTCTTGGGCTGGGGGTATGGAGAGAGTTTGCTTTAGCAGGAATATAGGTTACAGAGTGTTAGGATGTTGTTACTAGTATATTTAAGTAGATGTATCGTCTATGAAATAGTATCTTCACAGCCTCAAGCCCTAATGCAAAGTAATTAAGACCATTTGCAGGTAGTTAATTCAGCTGTTAACTGGGCTATCTGCAAAGAAGCTGTCAGCACATACTGTCATCATTGTTTGCCAGTTCATTCACTTTTTTTTTAGGTTCCACTAATTTCACATGCTCCCTCTTCCTAGTCTTTTAGTAAAATTTCATTTTGCTGTACTACTGATTATAACCAATCTTCTAGCCTCCCTGGGACAATGCCATATTTCTTCTATTATTTCTCCTCTTCCTGAACCCGCCCCATAACCCAAAACTTATTTGAATGAGAAAAGTATCCATACTTAGCATAGCTCCATTTCAATAGCTCCACTTAACCTTAGCTTCTGTCCTTTTGCAAAGAATAGAACCTTAATTCTGAACCTAATAAGCAGATTTTCTCCTTTTTTTCATTAGCCATGTGAATATTTCTACAGTGTTAATGAAATTACTGTAAATCATCAAAAGTTGGTTATTTTTTCACCTGTTGGCTTCCTAATCATTTCATTTAATGCGGCATTTTCATGAAAATTTTTAGTGTTGTTTTCTGCTATGTTCTGTTACCTGCTTCAAAATAAACTCTCCTGTATTAGGTACACTCCCTGCAGTTACAGAGGAATGGAAGAGAGACTACCTCATGGCAGCATGTCACGACTAACGGATCACTCCAGGCACAGTAGTTCTCATCGGCTCAATGAACAGTCCCGACATAGCAGCATCAGAGATCTCAGTAATAATCCTATGACTCACATCACACATGGCACCAGCATGAATCGGGTTATTGAAGAAGATGGAACCAGTGCATAAATTGTCCTGTCAAAAGTGGAAAACTTGTGCTGTTTAAAAAGCAGATTTTATTCTTTGCCTTTGCATGACTGATTGCTGTAACTCACTGTTATGCTTTCAATCAGGTGCAGAGTGTGTCCATTGGAAAAGTAAATGTTTGCTTTTTATATTGCATCAAATTTGGAACATCAAGGCATCCAAAATGCTAAGAATTATATCATCATATAAATAATTCTTATTTCTAGGTTATGAAGAGATAATTATTTGTCTGGTAAGCATTTTTATACACCCACGTATTTTATATTTAGAAAAATCCTAAAAGTATGGTGACTGCTTTGTAGTGAACTTTGATATAATATCAACTAGTTGTGAGATCACATTCTGGTAGTTCTGTTAATAAAACAAAGTTTCAGAATTAAAGAAATTTTCTATGCAAGATTTATTTCTCAGACGAATAGTAGGACTTTGTAGTTTTCTTTCCACTAAGTGAAAAAGAACTGTTTTTAAACTGTAGGAGAATTTGATAAATCAGCAAGGGTATTTTAGCTAATAGAATATAAGATCAACAAAAGAATCTGATTAGTCTATCGAAGGCTCTTTCAAAATTCTATCAAAATAATCTTCATCCAGAGAAATACAGGATTAGGATTCGCAATGGGCATTTTTTCCCCTATAATTGTGCTGTTTTTATTACTTTTGTAAATATTGCTTTTACTGGCTGTTTTACTTTTACTGGCTGTGTTTTTATAACTTATCCATATGCATGGTGGAAAATTTTTAATTCGTAGCCATCTTTTCCCATGTAGTAGTAGTGATTCATAGAGAATTTCGGGTTCAGAGCTGTTCCGTGGAGGCATGTAATAAGATAAGCATCACACATTATAAGGTTTTTTGTGGCAACCACAATTACAAAATGGCGAAATGTTATCTCTGTATTCATTGTTGTATTTTTCTACAATGAGATGTGGTCTTGTCAAAGCCACCAGATCTTGGTATCCAGGCCCCTCCTACAAGTGAGTTGATTGTCTGTGCTTGCACTGCCCAGTAGCAAACAGGCTACAGCTTTTGTCCCATACTCTTATTTTCAGATTCTGGATTATTCTTGTTTACAGCTGAAATATATGTAACCTAAGTCCAAAGTGGTGATTAATTTGGGGTATTTGAAAATTGTTGTAGCTAAATGAAGCATGATTAGTCTTGCTGTGAAGTATCTTTTAATCTTGAAAATATCAACTCAAAAATGTTTGACATTTTGTCTTGTGATGTTTAAATAGTTTACAATAAAAACTGTGAACTTTATTAGGCATGAAATTGATCAGAAGGGAAAGGAGAATTCTGGAAAATGCTACATGTGTTATATAGAAAAGCATATTTAAACAAGCGGTCCTCAACCCTGACTACAGATGAGAATCACTTGGGGAACCTCTGATGCCTGGCACCTTCCTCTCATTCAGATGAGAATCGGTAGTTTTTTAAAAAAAAGCTTTCCAGGTGATCTAACCTGCAGCCAGATTGCAGGCTGTTTTCAACTAACTAGCCCCTGATGATGATCTGTTGGCATCATATTATATCACGTGAAAATCTAGCTGGATTCAATGTTAATGCTTTTATATCATTACCTGGTATACAATTGTTCTCCACTTTATTGTCCACTATAAAATGTGGAATTCTGGGCTCCACTCCTAAAAATTCTTATTTAGTAAGTCAGTGGTGGTAGGACTTTAAAATCTGTAGTTATAAAAATATAACATGTGATTCTTATGCAGGTAATCCAAGAATCACACTTTGAAAAATATTCTAGACTCTAGAGAGGCCTGGCTTTGTCATATGCTAGTTTTTGACCTTTAACAAGTCAACTTCTCTGAGCCTCAGTTCCCTTGTCTGTAAATGAAGATAGAAAATAAATACCTACCTCACAAAGTTGTCAAATAGGGATCAAATGAAAAATCATATGAAAACTCTTTGAAAACTGTAAAGCATTGTGAAATATAAGGGATTAAGATTATTGGGATTTAAGAGATTTGTTTGAGGGCTACTATATTACATTCCTTGATGTGTGTTTAATTCATTTGTACTCTTCTCTCTTTCTTTAAAACAAAAAGTACGAAGAAATTTGGCCTTGAAAAAGAAGCTTTTATCAGGCATAAAAGTTAGTTTTCTGATGATAACTTGTTTTTTTTTGTTTTTTTTAATTTTATTTATTTATTTTTTCCCCCAAAGCCCCAGCAGATAGTTGTAGGTCACAGCTGCACATCCTTCTAGTTGCAGTATGTGGGACTCGGCCTCAGCATGGCCAGAGAAGCGGTGCGTCAGTGCGCACCCGGGATCCGAACCCCGGGCCGCCAGCAGCGGAGCGCGCGCACTTAACCACTAAGCCACCGGGCCAGCCCTAATAACTTGTTTGTAATCGTGTTGTTTCTTTCAAAGTACATATACCTTAATGTTTATTATTATTAATTCTTCATAAGATATATTTGAATATTTGGCCCAAAATATTTTTCTTTTCCCTCTGTCTTCATTGTCCTTCTCCTTGGAACTGGAGCTAGTGCTCGAGGCAGGCAGAGTCTGAATTCCCTCATAACCCTCGTAACTGACAATTAGTAAACCTTTTCTTTGAAGGCCAAACTTATAACAACTCATTTATAAATAAATTGGTAATTCATGAGGCTTTTGTCTGAGAATCTCTCCTGAGAACAGCATGAGAGGACCCAAACAAACATTCAGAAACAAAAATAAGAAGTTAAAATAGAAGGTACCAATTTGAGCTCAAAGATGTTGTCATCTATTGCCATCTGCATTATATTATCAATTGCCAAAATGTTAATTGGTTTTGTTGTACAAGTGGGCCTAGTATAGACAGTTAAGTGAATATCACTATGAAAATCTTAACTTTGTCTTCCTGATTTTTATATATTCATTTGTATCTTTGCTATTAAACTGTTGGTGTATGTGTAAATGCTTTCAGTACCTTAATTTTGCTCCACAGAATTTACTTAATATTGTTAATTTATTGTTTTCAGTAAAAGTATTTAGTTTGAGCCATGTTATTTATCAAACTAGAGCTCCAAATTAAGAATTTTTTTTAAGAGACAGTTGAAAAACCTATAGCAAAACAGCAATTTCAAGACTCAGCTAGCTTAAATCAGCTTGAGCAAGTCTGGACAGCTTTCTCACCATATATTTAACTTTAATTTGTGTTGTGATTGGCATATGATAATGTTTAGTGTTTTATTTGTTCAGTTGACAACTGAGAAAAATAATAGTTCTCTCTAAAATGTTAATATATAATCAAAAGATTTTTGAAAAGTACTTTGATTTCAGCAATATTGTATTTAATTTATTCAGTAATTAAAGCAAAAGATCCAAGACAATATTAAGCTCAAAACACTAATTAGTTTCACAGAACAATTGATTGATAACTCCACAACTAGCACAGGGCTTAGTACATAGTAAGTTTTTCAATAAATGTTTAAATGAATGAACAACTCATGTCATGCAACTCACTTTTATCCTGGTAGAGTCTCACTTCAAAGAAATTTGAAGGATCTAAATTTAAACTAAGTGAAATGAAGTCTCGCTTTACCCAAATAACATGTGGCAAGTAATAAGAAATATGTAAATTGTACCAAATGAAGTTTATTTCTCCTAGAGTAGCAGACTGTATTACTATTTTAAGAAATATATATGCAAACTTTTACCAACACTTTATATTAATTTTAAAAGGTGAAAGTGATTCTTAGAAGTAAATGTCTAGGCTCTTGTTGGTTTTATGTGAAGTTAGATCTTTGTGTACTGGTTGAGTGAATGAATAGTCAAGCAAACATTTATTAGTAATGATTTTCTTTTTCTGCTTCTTAGAGTAGATTTATAAAATTATAAGAATCTCTTCAAATTAGAAAAATTTACTACATTTTAACCTACCTCATTAGTTTCTTTGTGATAATAGCTGGAAATAACTGAAATTGTAACTGTCTTGGTTTAGGCAATATCCCTGTGAAATAAAAGGAATTACTTAAATTTTTTTTGATAAAATAGTGGATCATTGGCTGGAGCTCAGAAAACATTACTATACCAAAATTTCACTATGATGATATTTATACTGCTTTCGATATGCCAAAGGTACATTTACATATTATCATAGTTGGATGACTTACATAGTCTAGTGTAATGAAAATTCCACTGAGCTTGGAATTCAAAGACCCATAATTATGATGTGAACTGGACAGTTCATTTAACTTCTCTTAGTCTCAATTTCTTCTGTATAAAATGAGGATAAGGTAATTTTTGGTCCCAGCCTATCTCACTGGACATTGTGAGGATCAGATGAGATAATATGTATTATAGCACTCTGTAACCTATAAATTGCTCTTCTGATAATATTTGTTTCTGTTAGAATTTTGGGATTATAGAAAACAAGGATATGGTCTTAAGTGGTATTTAGCAATAACAACAAAACAGGCAATTAGACCAGTATTCATTTGGTACAAGCTTTTAAGTCAGTAATCTAATTAACCTTTAAAAAATGTGATTCTTTTTCAAGAGTAGCCATGCCCTTAAATTGTGTTGGCTCTTTAATATATGTTATAAATTTGTGACAGGTCACTTTCAGCAGAAGTTTGGGGATCTCCATTATATTTTTCCTTTGATATGGAATTATACAAATACATTAGCTTGGCTTCACTGAAATTTATAAGAAAAATAGAAAGAGGAGTGTAAGCCCCATGACTTTTGTTTTTTCTTTCAGGACTTTGATGTGCCTAATTCTTTCCAATTTAGAACAAGTTTTTTAAAAAGGTGATTACTGTAACATGTTGGTTTTCATCATGGCAAATCTTTAAATTTTAAGTTGTAACATTATCTTAATTATTTGTATATATAATTTTTTTTAACCTGCATAAAGTAAGGATGTCTCCATTTTTTCTCACACATAAACACACAAAAGATAGTATTTTTATAAAACCAGGATTTACAAAGGAACTCATGATTCTTTTAAACTTCTTTTATGCCTTTTTACAACTGATTAAGAAAAAGTGTTTACGTTTAATTCAGCTATGTTTCCTAGTAGCTACATAGTTTTATACATTATTCTTACATCATTTCTATCTATTTTATGTGAAAAAATTATGTTGACATTTCTTCATAATTTCTCTTCTCTTCTTTATTGTTCTTGTTCTAGTTATATGAGTTTTGGGAAAGGAATAGGAAGACTAAGAATCCTTTACCTTCCATCTGACTAATCAGTCTCCTGGGTTATTTTTCTAATTTAATTTTAATCCTATACTTCTTTAATAGTCAAATTGACAGAGGATTATAATTTTCTCTCAGGATCCAAAATCTTCTAGGAAGGAAAACATTAAGGTCTACCCAGAACCAGCCATCTTTGTAGACATTCCTATTTGGTTGATTTATAAAGATTTAATATGTTAATAAGCATATTTATTATTCTGTGATTTCTAATTAGAAAGTAAAACATTGTTGCCATAAAGGTAAAAGAAAGTAAAGTTTCACTTATATTTTAGTCAAATACCATGCCAATCAACATTACTTCCTATAAGAGAGAGTAATTCAATCTATTTAAATACGTTGAAAGATAGTTTCCTTCAGACTATTTTTTTTAATAATCACCTATCTCAGGAAATCTATTGTGTTCTTTCTCGGACATTTTCATTGGTATGATAACATTGCTCATAATTTATTCTCATTTTATTGGCCACTGTCACCAGTTTTCCCTGATAGAGAAGCAAGTTTTTTCCTTGTAGTAATTAGGATTTTGAAGACTCAGTGTTCCATTATTTTGGTAATTACCATTTACTAGTAACATTAGTATTTATAAGACAGTGATTTTTTCAAGCTTGTTATTTTATCATATTTCTTGAAGTAGGGTAAACTATATTATTATTATTATTGCCCTAGGGTTTTTGTTATATAAGTCAGCTTGTTTGTATTGCTAACTTGCAGATATTTCTTTGATTGTATTGTGCTTATTGACTTGAAAAAACTTTAGAGCTTAATCATTTCTGTTTTCTAAATTGGCAGATTTTTTTTAATGCTTAATAAAAATGCATTATATTATTTTTAAAATACCACAGAATTTTGAGTCAGGAGACCTGATTTCTAGTCTTGCCTCGGTTTTCAATGAGCTGTGTAACTTTGGAATTTTACCTCTTGGGACCTCGGTTTTCTCATCTGTAAATGAAAGACACAAGGGGATTAGATTAGGTAGTGTCTCAGATTCCCCCTGTCTCTAATTTAGTTGTCCCTTGACCATTTTATAATCGTTATTCTGGGCTTACTTTTATTCTTGTTGTTCTACCATGAACTGTATTTACTAATCAGCCTGTACTGTTAATGCAATTTATACTTAAATTGATAGGATTCAGATATGTTATTAACTTTGTTTTCCATTCATGATTTTAAGTAATTTTAAAGGAGGAAAATTATATTACAGATAATAAAAGTGAAAGAAAGTTTACAAATAAAGATTACAAAAAAAGACGTCACCTTTTTTTCCGTGGGAAACGTCTCCTAAAGCACCAACAATAAGCACCTTAAATTGATATACAGAAAAAAATGACATAAAATTTAGTGGTCTCTGTTCTCTTAAATATAAATATAAATAGTTAGCCTAAACTTGAATCTGATGTCCAAATATTTCATTGAATATTTTCTGGGTTTTGATAATGGGATATTCTATAAGATAAAGCAGATAATCCTAGATTGATCTAATTTATATTTATCCATCCACCATTTTTCTATTTCTCTACTTCTTCCCTCCCCAGTTTTGAAAAGAAAATTTATAAATATCTTCCCTCACTCCCTTAGCTCTACCTCAAATAATTTTTCCCTGAACTACTCTTGTTGGCAGAAACTAATATGAAATAATTCTATATTTCTGAGACAACATCAGCATAGTAGTTCTTTTCATTGAGCTGAGGTGAATATATATTTGAAAATAATGTCTTTATATGTGAACTTAAAATTATTTTTAAAAATCATAAATTCTCTGATATGAAAATATTAGTCTATAAGTTCTCTTGTCATCAGGTGATATTTCTACCTTAGTTGTGAGTTAGAGTAAATTTGAATTCTTTATCATTCCTCTTTTTTAAAAATTTAACTTCTCTGGAATTATCCCATTTCACATTGGTCTTTAACACCAACTTCAGACA